GCGTATTTCGCCCATTTGTTTTTTTTTAATTGCATTTTTTTTTTTTTTTTTTTTTTTTCCTTTTTTACTGTGTTTTTGAAAGAAAAAAAACTGGCAACAATAAAAACACAACAAAATGAACATGATAACCAACAAAAAAAACTCACTTTAAATAAACTGAACTACAGGTTGTTTCTAACTCTCAGTCGTATTAACACACAAAACAAATGATCGGATTAGGACACAAAAGATCTACTACTAAATGATAGCCGTGACTTATTGCATTAAAATGTATTGGCCACTGTTTTGGAGGAGTTAAAGAAAAAAACGTGAATAGAAAACAATAACAAAAGAACAAAAGAAGGTCGCCAAAGAACAAAAACACGCACAGAAAATGTTTTTATTGGTATGTACGGGAGATTATGAAAGTGGGACGTACTACGCCCATTCGTTATTTTGAAATACCATTACATTACTTTTTTTGATAACATTGTAGCTGATAATCAAGCTCTTCAACTGCAAAAAGTGAAGAAATGGCTACTTGAATTGTATCGATGTAACTCTGTTTGTTATATACGTTAAAAGAGAATGAAGGATAAACACAGTGGACGATAATATACCCACACTGTCTATCTATTTTTCTTCTTTCGACGGATAGACGAAATAAAAAACCATTACATGGTTACAGACGAGGAAGAGCAAAATATGAAGTACATTGTATACATTGACTTCATATTGACTTCGTTATACAAGACAAAATTGTGTTGGCGATTAGATCTCAGCAAAAATGAAACGGGAATTCCACTAGAGAATGCCCGCTGACCTACTTATCTCGTTATTACGAAATATCTCTTTAATTTCATGCAAAGGGTTTTCGTAATTTCTCTTCCTTTTCTACGACCTTTTATCTTGTTGCACTCGTTAATGTATGTTAATAACGCGTTACTTACGAAGAATTAACGTGCTCCAACGTAAGAAATAAAATATCGGCGTAGCCAGCTAACGGTCCACCTTCGGATGAGAAGGTTCGAATTTTTGTTTTAACTTGAGCAGAGCTTAAAAATACATCATCAGACAATGTTTTTCACGGTGATTACATATCTGGACTCAAAAACAAATGAAAGTTAAATCTTCGCGGTGAAAATTTAAATTTTTAAATCTTAAATTTAATTTCCTGACCTAGATACTTTTTCCAAAAGTTTTGAAAACTATACCGTCGGATAGAGAATCAAGTCCTCTATCAAAGGACTCATTTGTTTTGAGGTTTAAATGCGAAATTTTGTTTTTATTTTCTAAAAAAAGTTTTGACGCTTATTTTGTGAGCCATTTTTATGTCCATTTATTCTAACTTTGAAAATTTATTTCTAGCTGCATGGGATGAACGGCACCTCAAACTATCTGTCTATGTGTAAATTCAGAGCTTGCTAAGTAGTACTGTGACAGAAAAAATATATACAAACCATCGGCAAAGAAGGGCAAAAAACAGTGAAATTCCGTAACGGTCACTTTTATTCGATTGCCTCTGCCAGGGAACTAATTCAAGAAAAGTCAGTAATGATTCTGATAGCCCAAACTGTGAGCTTTAATTTCGTAATTAAGCAATCATTTTAAAGTTAATTTAAGGCTGAATAATTTACATTTTACTGAAATACGCCGACAAATACTTCCATTTTTTGAAATTCCGTAACGGCCCCTATTTTGACTATGAGTTTTGATCCGCTTGTTCAATCAAGCTCAAACTATTTTTGTTAGTAGAACTCCCTAATATGCATCATTGATATGAATTTCATTGATAAACGTTGCCTCTTTTCCAAGATAAAGGGCATAGAAGACGAAAAAAATGAAATTCCGTAACATTTGGCCAAGTCGATATCCTGCTAAAACGTGCTATTTGAACCATTTAATGCTGGACACAATCCGTTAACGCGTTACAACAGTATAAAATCTGTGCTCCATCACAACGCTTGGCACTTTTATCGATGAATTGTATCACTTTAACGCTGAAAAAATATTGGGAAATAATTTATTTGCCACGCATCGGGATACAGAAGAATATTGCGATAAATATTGTCTTTATTGCCTTAAATAAATTTATCTAGCTTTATTAAGCTAAAATATATTTACAATGTTCTCGAGATAATAAGTTTCATCGCGATGCATATTAGCACTAGCGCAATGCTTTATTTTACCTCGATAAACATTAGAATTATCGCAGAAAGCTTCTTTATCGGAGTAGCATTTTATCTCAGTAGAGATCGATAAATTTATTTTGCCGTGATAGTTCTAATGTTTAGCGCGATATTTCCTTGACTAGGTAAAATTATCGCCTCTAATCGAGATATTTTATAGAAAAAAAAACCTCATGGGTATGTTCTTAAAAATTAAATCTAAAATAAAAATAAAAATTTCTGTTAGAAAGAAATTTCTGGATCGAAATTCGTCTTGAACACATTTGAAAGTAATCTGCAGAAAGTAGCACAATCACACATCATACTCTCAAAGGAAAAAAGGTGCCGTATGGAACTTGCATGGTAGAATTATATATTATTACTACTTATTTACAAGGTTAGAATTGACAAATTTTTGATTTCATGTATCAATGATACAATTACTTTAAATATTATTGAATATAAAACTGCTACAAAGATGGTAGATTTTTAACAAAAACCAGTTTATGGTTTATTCAAGCTTTCTATACGAGACACTTATAGAATTACTTATTTTATACGTTCTCGTTTAATGAATCGGATAGTTAACCGAAGAAGTCTCAGAGATTGTCATAGTGTTCCAAGATTTGTTGGCAACATGTGGTTATTGAAGCTCTTTAAGCAGCAAAATGCGATGGAGCATAACGAGAAATGTATATTTCACTGCTGATTTTTTTCTTCTCTTATTATCTGAATCACCAACTAAAAACTATCAACAACAACAACTACAGCAGAACAAAACAATCTTTTAAATTTATGAGAAAAATGTACTTGTTTCTGTTAATTTTTCTTTGTCACATGAGAATCAGAATGAAAGAAAAATATTTTGCCTTGAATAGTGCGTAAAGAAGTTTAAAATTATTTGAAGTATGCCTGCTACTGTACCACAATAGAAATTCGTCATGCTAACTGCATGAGCATCTAGATAATAAGTAAATACATAATTAATTAATTAATTTCCCGATTTAACACTGCTAAGCCCTTTGCAACTTCAACTGGTACGTTTGTATACTTTTAAAATATTTCATAATCGGGATTGCAGACATTTTTTCATCTGACATATGACCGTACATAAATTAAAACTACAGACTTGTGATTGAGATAGACTTATCTAATGAAAGACGTTGAATAGATGATTTTAACGCATAACTATTTTTCTACAGACCGGATATATTTCCCAACAAAGCTGTGAAAGTCAGCCTTATGATTAACTGTTAAAAGGATCTTAGCTACGCTGTAAAACAGTGTCTAGATGACCTAAACATCCACTTGATTAAACACTTGCGATGATGTTCATGAGCATTTGCATAGAGGTCTTAGAAATCCATATACTGTCACGTCTAACTAAAACTGAAGAAAAAGAATTCAAGCAACTGACCTATGCTGTCGAGGTAATTGCAACCCAAAGTGATTAGACAGTTAGACTATATCATTGTTTTTACACTATAATCAGAGTTTACATTTGGACCCAGCTGAAAATGTCGTGTTACACTTAAATTAATCTCCTTGCTGTCCTACTAATAACATACATTGGAGTATGGCGCACCCTAAGATATAATCCTTTGAAGAAGTACTTGAGTTTTGGATATAGATTCGTGAAACATCGACGAAAGTATGATTTAATGGAACGGATGAGTGTAAGCTTAAATACTCATGTTAATGAAGTGAACCCTATTTCAATTCTCACAGAGTTCTCTCTTGCATACGTACACAAACACTGCATAACGAACACTTTGACAAACGCTAGATCACGGCAGTCAAATAGTGGACCAGTTGCCAGAATGTGTATGTTTATTGATTGTATCACTATTTGGACGGTCTTAAACGGATTATCCCTAGGCATCTTAACTATTCCACGGCTTTGAAGATACTTATCAAGTGAACCAATCGAGCAAGAAATTCTTCTTTAGACATTTAACTGTTGGTAGGATCTTTCAGTAAGATCAAATAATCGTCATCAGTTTCATTTTAAACCTACAAATAGATGCATGCAAGTGTTTTCAAAATTTTCAGCAAAACTGCATCATCAGGCGACCTATAAGAGGAAAAACAGGCAACCCATGTAACCACTTGGTATATTGCTAGCATACTCTTGATTTTAGCAGTGCAAAAATGGGGGGGAAAAATGGTAAATACGATGTCTTTCGCTCTATAACTACGAAGAAAGACGATTTAATTCCCGAGACCACATTCGATTCTGCATTCCGAAAAGACAGCACATTACCAAAATTTATCAGCCAGATGCAACGGACCGAGTTGCCTTACACCGAGCGGCTATCGTTTGTCTGGCTTGATACTCCCGTTGAATTGCGAAGAGACACAGTTGATATGCAGGTTAAACTGCGAAATATTCTTGATTATTTGCGAATATTCGATCGAACCGAACCGTGTGAACAATACGTCAGACACATAAACACACATATGGAAAAACTGTTTTTCATCATTCATGGCAGTCTGTGTGCGACATTCGTGCCACATATACACGATCTGCCACAGATAAAATATATTTATATCTACGAAAGCGACAAGAGTACACCAGGTCAGCAGTGGTTGGCTAAATATCCTAAGGTAATATTACTTGTTTAATTTCTTTCTATTTATACTTCATCTTTACTTTAAAATGGTAATAGATACGTGGTGTATTCACAGATTCAAAACAATTAATTGCGCAAATTATCCGAGATAAAGCACGTGGGTAGAAAACTTTTATACATTGTATGATTTTCATAGACATTGCTCAAACAACTCTACGTTACAATAAATGGTATGAGACACTAGTCTGACTTTGCTCCCCATTATTGCTCTTGCGAATAAATACTAACAAGTTTTTACTACATCAAAAGTGAAAACTACAGATTTCTGTCACTTTTCGTTCAAAAACTATACGAAGAACAACAGATGGCATCCTATGTGTTTTGAAATCGGTATTAGAACCTCTATAAATGCATATTTTGTTCAAAGCACTGACTGTAGTGTAGAGATGTGCACGGATACCATTTTCGTATCCATACCGGCGCCCGAAAATTTTTTTTCCACCCGTACCCGACCCGACAACTTTGTACCCGCACTCGACCTTACCCGAGAACTGTGTACCCGTACCCAGCCCGTAATCGACTTATACCTTTCTTCTTTTTGTTTTCCAGCTAAAAACTTTTATTTTGCAGCTGAAGCTGTCAAATTATCATTACGTTCTTAAGTAATTCTTTTTTAAACCTTCATGTATGTCAGCTAAATGCCTGTATTTGTTCACTAAAGTTTTATGGGTAATTAGTTAGATAATTGTGTGGGTAAGATTATCTAACTAATTAAATAATACCCAGATTCTGATACAAAACTTGTGGAATATCTACAACACTACTTTTCATTCAGAATTGAAGATTTGTGACAAATCTGCAGAAGTTATTTAAAGATCTAGTGCGAAACTTGAGAAATTTTTAAAGGTTTATCTAGATCTGTATTCAAGATTTTTCTCCTGGTACCACCAGATAGAATATTCAAAATTGAAACAAATCGTAAGTAACGTTTTGAAAAGCGTTTGGCTCTATTGAAATAACATAAAGAATTAAATTCATATTCATAATCACTTTCATGTATGTCAAAACCATCGTCTGAAAGTGACTGTGGATTATTCTTAATAAGCAGAATTAGATGTTAAATGAGTCTCGATAACGTTTGATCAATAAAACTATTTAATTTATTCAGGAAAAACTACATAAAATGCATACTACCGGAATAGATTAAATAGTTTTATTGATCAAACGTTATCGAGACTCATTTAACATCTAATTCTGCTTATTAAGAATAATTTACAGTGACTATAAAATTCATAAATGTCTTCAGATCTGTCGGTTTAATAGACTACGGAACAAACAGCTACGCTGCCAGAATATTTTGAACGCGGAGTTTGAATTTGCTATGGAGTTTTAAGATATTGAAGGGGTGTATTATTATATAACATATTAGTAGCGAATCTTTTGCAAAAAGTGATGAGAAAATGCATCATACAGGTACAAGCATGTGCAACATATTTGATTCGGTCACGAATATAATATTTAATTCGTAGTACAATTTAATTCGGAAAATTATCAATTTTACACTTTCTTTACTTTAAAATACATTATTTTTATAGAGCATAAAAATTTAGTAGCCGAGAAAAATATTAAACATTTATTCGTTAAAGACCAACAGATTATTGTGCACTTTATGAATGAAACCAACTCTTGAATATATGTTGAAATAATTGAAAGTACCTCGCGTATCTTTCTATGACTACTATCCATTTCAATGAACAATGCACTCGGTTGTAACTTGAATAACTCCGAAACGGAGTCAGCTAGAGTCTTGCGGTTTTCGTTGTTAGAAAGAGAAAAGATAACTTTATGCTTTTCTGTAACATCTGGCGACCTCACACCGACTTTTACGCCACCTATCTGTGAACTTTTTAAAGTACGCTTAGTGCCGAACTTTCGTACACAGACTAAAATATTGTTTTTCGGCTCGGTTTTTCCCAGATAGTTAGTACCTACACTCTAAAAAGAAGTCGTAGATTAATAAACTACAACAGAAGAGTTTTTTGGACTAAAAAACTGATCAAAAAAACCCAAAAGAGTTTTTTTAACGGGTTTTTTAGGCCAAAAAACTAACAAACGTTCGTGGTCGTTTCAAAATGACCAAAAAACCACAGAGCTTTTTGGTCATTTTGAAAAACCGACAGGGTTTTTTAAAGAGTTTTTTAGACTCAAAAAACTCTCCCAAAAACCATGAGTTTTTCATTTTGAAACGACCACGAACGTTTTTTAGTTTTTGGCCTAAAAAAAACCGTTAAAAAACTCTTTTGGGTTTTTTGATCAGTTTTTTAGTCCCAAAACTCTTTTATTGTAGTTTATTAATCTACGACTTTTTTTTAGAGTGTAGAAACGTCTTACGCAGACTTTTCTTCCGATAGGACACTTCTTACTCTGGGACACCTTTTATCCTAGAATAGTTCTTCTCTCCTCGGATTTCTTTTCCAACCTTCGTACTAAATGCTGTCATCATACAGATACAAAATGTATCTACTTAAATCAATCGTCTATAATACTAGAGTATAAAAAAATAACTTAAACAAACAGTATACAGTTAATAATTAGCCATAGTAGACTTATTATAACCAACCATATCAGCTTTCGTTGTAACAAAATGGATGTACATTCGTGTAGCCGGTATATTCAGTTCATTTTCAAACAGAGTCATAACTTCATTCGATATTTTTTCTGGTAGATCATCTTTTAAGTTAATCGATGTCACGTGAATTATTGCTGTTGGATCATAGCTGCCACCGAACAGCATTTTTTGACCACCTTGAATGTGAACACTAAAGAACTTTTCCGGTATACCTGTTAATTCAGCCAGCGTTTTACTGAGATCCTGTAGGGGACGTTCTGATAAATACTTAGTTCCTTCACTTTTCAAAAAGTCCTTCTTCATCTCCTCTATCTGATGTAATTTCTTAAAGTCAACTTCTCTACCCCAATTAGTCACGACATAATATCCGGACGCTTAGAAAAAGTTTATCACTTATTTTACTCTGATCAACATTTGTGCTTGCTTCGAAAAGGGGCATAATGCAAACAATAAGGGATAATTATCTAAAATAAGCGAATACATACGTGATAAGCAGAATGATAGGGAGTCCTATATGTTAATTACCTGATAAATTACCGTTAAAACACTCAATTATCTCCTTAAGTAGTTGAATATATCTACAAAAAGAGCATAGAGTTTCAGATAGTTTGACTCGAAAAACGCCTCAACTCACAGCTAGATCAGTCTGTTCTGTCAACAAATACGCATGCCCAAAATGAAAATACCGTTCTCTATTTCGTGATAAAATCGTGCAGATAAATGTTTTTTATTGAAAACTTTTCTTGTTATCAGTAGCAATCGAGACTCATGCAGATTAAATCAGTCAATCATACAAAAAATAACATTTCTGTTCGATGAAATATCGCATTTCCATAGAACAAGAATGTTTCATTCAAGTTGTGTATTTTTATATCAATTTCTTACTACTTTTTATATGATTAACTAACAATTGATGTCTTATTGTTATTTTTTCAACTGTGAAAGATGTAGTCAGAGTATGCTTGCTGGTTTCTCTTATGAGATATGCCCGTTTTAACGTCCTAAGTTTAATTTATTGAAATGATTAATTGTTTGTTCAGTTGACGCGTTATGTATTACAGAACTACTATCCATTTCAATGAACAATGCACTCGGTTGTAACTTCAATAACTCCGGAATGGAAGCAGCGGATTCAATGTGAATGAATCCGCAAGTTTGTATAACACCGGGTTGTCCTTGGCATACATTCGCTAGAGAAATTGTTCTCTTTCGGTCTACGCAAGGCCGAGCTCTCTAGGCTAGAGAGCTCGCCCTTGCGTAGAACTCGGGAAAATGCTTATAGATCCTAAATAGCAATAGTTAAAGACTCTAGCTATTGCTATTTAGGATCTATAAGCATTTTCCCGAGTGCTCCGATTTTAACCCACTAACCTTAAGTCACTCCAAAAAACGTCGAAACATGGATAATCCAGCACACTGAGCCGCTTGGTGATTTTTATTTTCACTTTTGAAGCGATTTGAACCATTAAATTAAAGGTATTTGAGATTTTACCATTTCGACGTTTTGTAGCGCTATGCAACATGAACTCGCTATTTCAGAATGTTTCAATTTAATGGTTCAAATCACTTCAAAACTGACAAATAAACGTCATAAACTTTCCCAGATAGGTGGCGTCAAAAGTCTGTCTGAGGTCGCCGGATGTTATAGACAATCATAGATCGTATAAATAAAGGAAAAAATATGGATGACACACTGCGAAACTTCAGTTTTCCTTAGTTTGTAGTCTAAAATATAGTTTTTAAATTTTAGTCGTCTATCACTCCCGATATAAGATAAAAGAAAATGGCCATTTTGTAGCTCTTGAAACAATACTAAGGCCTTGTCCAGACTACACTCTTTTCTCACTTAAGTATTAACTTAAGTCATGTCGAGCACACAACTTAAGTTGTAATTAACTTTTTCATCTAATACGGTTACGAGTTTCTCACTTAACTTTTGTAGTCTGGACAAG